ATAAAATCCCCAAATTGAAAAAAATACGTGCATCTCTGTTTATCGCTGCATTATTTACAATACCCAAGATATGGAAGCAACCAAAGTGTCCATCAACAGATGAAGGGATAAAGAAGATGTGGTACATATACAATGGAATATTATTCAGCCATAAAGAAAAAAGAAATCCTGCCATTTGCAACAGCATAGATGGACCTAAAGGGTATTATGCTAAGTGAAATAAGCCAGATGGAGAAAGACAAATACCATATGATTTCACTTATTTGTGGAATATAAAAACAAAGCAAAACAGAATAAACAAAACAGCGGTCAATTCACAGTCACTAAGAAGTGACTAGTGGTTAACATGTGGGAGGGGTCAGCGTGGGTGGGCAGGGAGGGTGAAGGGAATAGAGGGGCATAAAAATTCTCAACCATGCAATAAGTTGGTCATGGGGATAGTAGTACAGTATGGAGAATATAGTTAATGATTTTGTAACACATTCCTGTGTTGATAGTAACCGCACTAGTTGGGGTGAGGATTTAATAATATGGGTAACTGTTAAACCACTGTATTATACATTTGAAACCAATACAAGATTGTGTATCAACAATATTTTTTAAAAAAAGATATATGTACCCCTATGTTTATTGCCACATTACTTACAATAGCCAAGCTATGGAAGTAACCAAAGTGTCTTTTAATAGACGAATGGATAGTGGTATATATATATATATATATATATACACACACACACAATGGAGTATTATTCAGCCATAAAAAAGAAAGAAATCCTGCCATTTGCAATAACATAGATTGACTTAAGGGTTATGCTGAGTGAAATAAGCCAGGCAGAGAAAGACAAATATCATATGATTTCACTTGTATGTGTAATCTAAAAACAAAACAAAACAAAATGAACAAAACAGCAGTAGACTCATAGATACTGAGAAGTGACTGGTGTTTACCATGGGGAAGAGGCTGGAGTGGGTGGATGAAACAGGTGGAGGGGATAAAGGGACACAAAAACTCAATAATAATATAAATTAGTCTTGGTGATGAAAGGATAGCATAGAGAACATAGTCAATAGTTCTGTAACATCTATGTTGACAGATAGTAACTACACTAGCTGGGTGAGCATTTAATAATGTATGTAACTGTCAAATTACCATGTTGTTCACTTGAAACCAATACAATATTGTCTATCAAATATACTTCAATAAAAATATTTTTAAAGCCTTTGTTCACAGATGATATGGTTTTATTACATAGAAAATCCTGAAGATTCCACAAAAAAACTGTTAGAATACATTTAGCAAAGTTACAAGATATAAAATCAATATACAAAAATAAGTTGTTTCTATACACTAATAATGAACAATCTAAAAGAGAAAATAAGAAAATAATCCCATTTATAGTAGCATCAAAAAGAATAAAATGCTTAAAAATAAACTTAACCAGAGGCGGAGCTAAGATGGTGGCGTGAGTAGGACAGTGGGAATCTCCTCACAAAAACATATATATTTTTAAAAATACAACAACTACAACTATCCCTAAAAGAGAGACCAGAAGATACAGGACAACAGCCAGACTACATCCACACCCGCGAGAACCCAGCGCCTCGCGAAGGGGTAGTCCACTGTATGAGATACCAGGTTTGTTTGTTTTTTTAAGCCATTCTCCTGCTGATGGGCACCTGAAGTATTTCCAGATTTTGGCTATGACAAATAAAGCTTCCATAAACAAACAAAAAAAAACAAACAAAAAATAAATTAATTAATAAAATAAACTTAACCAAGGAGGAGAAAGTCTTGTAAAATAAAACTATCAACACTTTGCTGAAAAAAATACAGACACAAATAAATGGAAAAACATCTTGTGTTCATGGATTGGAAGATTTAATACTGTTAAGATGTCCATACTGTCCAAAGAGATTTACAGTTCAAGGCAATCCCTGCCAAAATCCAAGCATTTTTTTGTAGCAACAACAAAAAAATCCTAAAATTTATATGCAATTTCAAAGGACCCTGAATAGCCAAAAAACAAAATTGCAGGCCTCATACTTCTGACTTCAAAACTATACTGCAAAGCTACAGAGTAATCAAAACAGTATGCTTTGGCATATACATAGACATATAGACCTATGGTACAAAATAGCCCAGAAATAAACATCTGCATGTGTGGTCAAGTGATCTTTAACAGGGTGCCAAACACAATACAATGGGAGAAGTCTTCAACAGTGGTGGTGGGAAAACTAAATATCCACATTAAAAAGAATGGAGGTGAGACTTCTCTTACAATATACAAAAACTAGAAAGGATTAAAGGCCTAAACATAAGACTAAAACTTTAAAACTCCTAGAAAAAAATATAGAAGAAAAGTTTCAGGACATTGGATTTGGCAATGATTTCTTGAATATGACACCAAAAGTACAAGCAACAAACGCAGAACAAATGGGACTACATCAACCTCAAAAATATCTGCATATCAAAAAAAAACAATCAACAGGGTGAAAAAGAACCTATGTAATGGAAAATATATTTGCAAATTATATATCTGATAAGGGGTTAATATCCAGAACCTATAAAGGACTTCTACAACTCACAACAACAAAAAAAACCAAATAATACATCTAGAAATGGGTAAACAACTTGAACAGACATTTTTCCAAAGAAGACATACAAATGGGTAACAAGCATATGAAAAGATACTCAACATCACTATACTCATTAGAGAAATGCAACCAAAACTACAATGAAATAATCACTTTACACCTATTAGTATAGCTACTGGCAAAAAAAAAACACAAGTTACAAGTGCTGATGAGGAGAAACTGGAATTCTTGTGCACTGTTGGTGGGAATGTAAAATGGCATAGCCACTACTGAAAACAGTTCAGATGAAAAAAATTAAAAATAGAATTGCCATATTGTTAGATAACAGAAGAACTATAAAACAATATGGACAAAAAAAAAAACAAAATTATCACACTCTGAAATAACAGAAAATATGTATTGGTCTCTGCCACTGTTCCTGGCACACAGCTCCCAAAACCCCTGTAATTTCCTAAGGAATAAAGAGAATCAAGAGAATCTGTTTTTCTTTGACTCTGGTTTTTCACACACTGCTTCTGAAACCTTTTAACTTCTTCAGTGACAGGAGTGTCTTTTGTTTTAATGAGGCAACTCTGGATGGCCTCCTGGATGATAGTTGATCACAGAGAAAACCAGCCATGAATAAAAAGGTTGGAATTTTCAGCTCTACTCCCCATCCTCCAGAGAGGGGCTGAAACAGCTAATAACTGATCATGCCTATGAGAGGAAGCCTCCATAAAAATCCCAAGAGTTCAGAATTCAGGGAGCTTACAGGTGGACAAACACATCATGAGGAGGGTAACACACCCCAGCTTCACAGGGACAGAAGCTCCTGTGCTCAAGATCCTCCCAGATCTTGCCTGACACATCTCCTCATTGGCTGTTCATTTGTGTCCTTTATTGTGTCCTTTAATAAACTGGCAAAGGTAAGCAACTATTTCCCTGAGTTCTGCGAGCTACCCTAGCAAATTAATCAAACCTGAGGAGAGAATCATGGGAACCTCTGATTTTCAGTCAAATCAGACAGAAGTTGCAGGCAACCTGGGGCCTACTTACATCTGGCATCTGAAGTGAGGTGGCAGCAGTCTTGTGGGACTGAGCCCTTAGCGAGTGGCATCTGACATTTTCAAGTAAGATGACAACTGGTGTCAGAGAACTGCTTGGTGTGGGGGAAAGCCCCACATACTTGGTGACCAGAGTGTCAGGAGTTAAGTGTTCTGTGTGAAAGTAAAGGAGTCTCACAGATGAACGACATAGTAGAGAGGTTGGAAGATAGGAAGGGATGAATGGGACAAAGAGTAATGAGGGAAGGAAACCATGTACACAGGGATGGAAACATGAAGTATGGAACCTTTGGGGAGTTGGATACTCCAGTGTATTCTTCTTGTTTTTCAAAACTGAATTCAAGCATTATCTCCCTCACAGAGGGTCTCTGATCCACTTTAGACACCTTACCTTTGTGCTTCCATAATACCCTAAGACAGCAGTTCTCAATCCGTGAGATTCCCCCTGGTGAACATATGGCACTGTCTAGGGACATTTTTTTATGGTCCTGATGGGTGAAGGGTGGGATGGGCAGTGGTGAGTAGAGGCCAGGGATGATGGTAAACATCCTACTATTCACAGGACAGTCCCCCACAGCAAAACATCAACAGTGTCCAAGCTGAGAAACTCTGCTATAAGCACATTATGGGGTGATACTTCCCACCTTATAAAAATTGGTTTAGTTGTTTAGCTCCACCACTGGACCACAAGTTCCTAAGATAACAACAGTAGCCAGCATTCACAGAGCATTACTATATGCCAGACACTGTTCCAAACAATGAACATGAGCAATTTTATGTAATCCTCAGGGATAATTCTATGGGTGGGTACTATTCTCTTCTCTGTAGACTAAGAGGGTGAGGTGTGGACTCTCTGAGGTCACCCAGAAAACAAAACAGTGGAGCTGGCAACAATCTGACTTCATAACCCACGCTCTTAAACAATTCCATTTTCCTCCAAAGATATTTCTACCAGACAGGAACAATTATTTTCTTTTCAGGAGCATCAAACTTTCTTCTTCTGAACATCACTTAAAAAACTCTTTAAATAACAGGGCCAAAAACCTCAACCCTCAGTACTATTGGCATTTTAGGATGACTAGTTCTTTTGGGGGGCTGGAGGCTGTCCTGTGTGTTGCATCAGCATCTTTGATGTTAATCAGCATCTTTGGTCTCTACCCACTAGATGCCAATAGCACCCTCACCTCCCCAGTCCTGCCTGTCGTGACAATAAAAAGTGTCTAGACACTGTCCATGTCCCCAATGATGAAAAAGTCACCATTGATCTAGAACATGTTTGTAGAATAAATAAATGAACAAAGTTTTAGTTTAATAGTTTTGGAAGTAAAAAATCTGTCCTAAGAATAAGAAAGATTAATTTACCTTTTCAGCTAATTCTTCTGCTGTTATCTTTGGATCATATGGAATAGGATCACCTAAATAGGTGCATAACTTCACTGGGAAGCCTCCATACATTGGAGCAAATGGATAGCGGAATTTTTCATAAAGCCACCTAAATAACCCTGTTTTAAAGTAAGCAAAGCATTCAACTAGTTAAATATTCTGAGCATATCATTGTAAACTTTCAAATTAATTATGGAAGATTTAGAAAAAGGTAGCAAATAGTATCACCTCCTGGCAATTAATACAATTTTTTTTTTAAAGAAGGAATTTTCATCAATTCTAACAAATGGGCCACACTAAAGCAAGATGTTAATAATAGGAGAAACAGGGGGAGTAGAGTGGGTGTTTATGAGTATTTTCTATACTTTCTGCTCACTTGTTCTGTAAACCTAGAAATGCTCAAAAAAATAAGACCTATTAATTTTTTTAAAAGGTGACTTTTTGAAAATATGCAAGTTATAAAAGGCAAACCAATTACTATTATTATAAAACAAAGGGTAAAGACTGCAACCAAAAGCTAGAAACTAAAAAGTCAGACTCACAAATACGTGACTTACATGAATAAAATAAAAAAAGGAAGTATAAAATGAGTTAATATAAACATAAGACTAAAATGCATAATAAACTAGATAAAGACTAAAAACATTTTTGTAAATTACAAAAAAGTCACTAAAACAAAGAATTACTAATGCTAATAAGAAAGTGTGAAATTTAGCAAGACTAAAAGTGGTGATAATGTAAAATAAACTGGTGGACTGGGTTTAAAAAAAATAAATCCAAAAAAGGGAAGCAAAATTAAATACATTGACATGAATTGTACCAAAAGTTTAAAACACTATTTACATATGGGAACAGAATGTATCATAAGACCCAAATACTCAAAAAAAATCACTAAAAACTAATTTTGAGATACTTATCTTTAAAAATAAAAAAAGTAAGAAAATAGTGCATTTATGGTTCACAATATTTAAAAACAAAAACCAAGAAGTAGTAAATAAACCAAAGCAAACAATATCTCCTTAGGTTGCTAATCTTAATTCAGTACGATACTGTCATCCATTTTTAAAGCTGTAATTTATTCAGGGGGTAATTGCAAATACAGTCTGGGTAACATGTAAATTTGTTCGAAGCCTCAACAATATGGCTTACCACAATAGATGATTCACTGTAATTTTAAAAAGCCCATGACAAATGAGCTTTAGTATGTATTTGAGACTTTTAACAAAAATCTATCATCTAAGAACTGTCATTACTTAAACCAGTTACCATTTAGAGTTTAAACAGAAAACATCTACACAGTATATCCATTATCTAAAGTTACTATTAAAAAAGATTCCTTATTGGGTACAAAAGCCCAAATATTTAAAATATTCTAAACATTACATTATAATTAGAAAAATCATATGAATCAGAACTTACTTGTTCCTCCAAGTGATCTAAATCCTTCACGGATATTTTGTGTAAACATAGGAATAATGGGCTAAAGAGAGAATTTGAATTAAAAGTAAATATAGAAATCCATTCAATGTCTCCACTGAGTCATTAATGCAAACTTTTGAGGTTCTGTTTAAGATTATGAAAATAAGCTATTTATTTAAAATAAAGGTATACTTACATCACTAAGGTGATTTATCACACTAAATTTAACTTGACTTTGTAAAAATATAAATTAGAAACACTACCCTCTAGTGGTAACATATAATATTTCATTTACCAACTTCCCTATCATTATCACATACACCCTTGAAACTCAAAAGATTACAGTAATCATTAATTTTATTAAACAAAATTAATGTGGTAAATTAAATTGGTTTTAGTGATCTACTAAACTGTATGCTTATTGAAGAAAAAGTTACAAGACAGAGGTTCTCTACGGGGTAATCCATATAAATTGAAATGACAGGTTTTTAGCAAGATGCTGTCATGGAATTACTGAAAACAACTTTTTTTGTAAGCTTATTAAATCTAAAAATATTCAACATCAATTAAAAGTAAGTATAAGACTCCTTGAAACAAAAAAGAAAAGCATATATATAAAAGAACTCTTTGTATCATTAATTTTAGAGGATTTCTGCTCACAGACCCATGGTTTGTAATTTTCCATGAATATCAATGATTAAATATAATTTTTTTAAATGGAGACTTTAAATGTCATAAAACAATGGATAAGAAGCAAAGGATCATGTGAGGAGGTTATGCCACAGTGAAACTGAAGTAGATAAAAAACTTAGTACACTTTAAAATGTACATGAAACATACTGAATTAAACAATGTTTTAGAAAAATAGAAAAGGCTGGGAGGGAGGGGGCCAGTGTCACTTTACCTGCAGTCTACCATCAGTATTTGCCTAATATAGAATTACCTGCCTTCGTGAGCAGGGCTTGGGATATTTAAATAAGGTGACATTTAAAAAGCCATTCCTATTCAGCTTTGGAAAACAGTAAAATACGGTGGACTGACGCAGAGACTACAGGGATAGCTTTCTTTATAAAACTTATTACCTCACATATAACTAACCATATAACTAACTGATCATTTACTTATTTTATCTCTCCACTCACCGGAAGGAAGGCACCTAATAATAGGGACAGTGTTTTATTCACAGCTCTGTTCCCAGCAACTAGAAAAATGCCTAGAATAGACCAGGTACCAAAAGTAAGTGTAATGGATGAATTCAAGAAGGAATTAATGAATAGAACAAAAAGACAATGCTTCTAATGAATTTGCTTGTATTCTCTGAATAAAAAGGGTCAGAAATAGGCAGCAGTGACCTTAAAACCAGTTAAGAAAAAGAAGTCAGGTAAAAAGAAAAGCAATCAGATGAAGAATTAAAAATCTGATGGAGGTGATTCACAAAGATAACACATAAGGACACTGACTTTTTGGAAAAAAATTCAGATTACAACCTAGGAAACCATCACTAGTTTTGTAAAAGTAAAATCATGACTGAAATTCCAGTGTTTTAAATAGTTACAAAATGTCATTAGAATTGAGAATTTAAAATGTCCAAGAAGAAACGGAAACCTTTCAGCTCATGTATCAACACAATTTTTTCTTCTGTGACCAGTACTGCTGGATTTATGTGTACTGACTAGCATGAATCCAGGAATTTGTACTTAAGTATACACTTTATAAGACTCTTCAAGTTACATATCATTCCTTAAATAGCTAATTCTCCAGAAGTCGGACATTTCTAGAACAGGAAAAAGCTTACCCTACAAGGCTATCACCTGGGTACATGGTTTCTAAATTTGCACAAAGCTTACAGCCTTAAAGCTACAAGCATTACCTTATTACAACTTGATATTATGATTTTTCATTCCTTTCCTTGTCCATACTTTGTATATAAGCTAGTTGCATAAGTAACTGAGAATCGAATTCTGTTCACATCTTGGGGAATCAGTTTAACATGGTCTTAGAGTCAAACTTCGCCACTAAAAAAGTGGGAACCATTGGACAAGTGACTTACCGTATCTAAGCCTCAGTTTCTTCATGCATAAAATGGGAGTAGTAACAATTATCCTATCTCAAAGAATTTTTAGTAGACTGAGATAACACATACAAACAATTTTATTGAAACAACTGCTGTTTTCTTTTATACCTGTTGTTTACCAACTAGAGTAAATGGGCTAATTTTTTACCAATTTATTTAGAACTGAAGTTATCTAAAAATTCTTAGCAAAGTTGTAATTCTCAGGAATTCACCAAATAGGGTGATTTATATTATACCAAAAAGCCTGTAACTTTCAGATGAACCTTAAATATTTTCTACCAATATCTTATGAGCTTGAATTCACAATTTAGACTTTTTCACCTTAATTTCTGTTACTAAGTCACAATGTAAGTGCACTTAACCCCACTAACTATGATCTTAATTTTTTACTCAAGGTTTATGGTAATTCTGTGAGGCCTAGGATGGGGCTTTCCAGAGGGTATATTTGTGCCCTTTACAACTACATTCATTTATAATTGAGAGATGTCCTTCATGTAGCTGGAAGGTCCCACTAGTGTAAAGGTCAGCAAACTCACTGTGAAATGCAGTCAGGGATGACAACAGCACCAGCTGCCTGCAGTCCTGAACTGTACGCTCTGCTCTGCTTCTGCCTTGCTGAATGACCTGATCCCTCCATCCCTTCATCTCTCTGTGCCTGAGTTTCCTCATCTGTAACATTGGAATAATTATATACATCACCTATTTACTGTACAAGAGTACCAACAGAAAGCCTTAAAAGCACTATGAAAGGTCGGGCTGGTACAATATTCATCAAACTTGTAATGCTACTTTGTAAATAAGCAATGTTAAAGATTTTTGTTTTTATTTAAACTTGTAAAATGCTGTTCATGAAATTTTCTCAGGTTTTGTACAAAAAGTTAAAGTATCCATATTATCTTAATTATCTATAAATTCTTTCAGGGATTAGAAAAATTGCTCCTTTCTTTATGTAATTTTTTTCTTTCAGGCCTTCATCCAGGCAATGTTCCTTAAAACTGTAAACATCTGGATGAGAAATTAGAATCCCATGATCAACTTAGGTGCTTCCAAATCTATTATTTTTGTCATTTTTATCTTAAACCTTAGAAGAAATAATTCAAACTGTAAACTTGAAAACAACTTTGATTAGATTCTTAGCTTCTATCATTGCTTTAATATACATTAAACTGATTATCCTTAATTTTTGTACAACTACATATATCCTTTTGTATTCTATATTACTCACACAGTGAAAACTTTTGTTTTCTATTATCAGTGGTTAAGACTTTTTGGAAAGCAAAATGTGCTATCAGTTTCATATATCACTAATACTATTAACATAAAATTAAATTCAAAAGGCTCCTTTTAGTACATTTAATATTGTGTTTAAAAAATCAGTTCAATTCAATACATACAAATAGCCTACTAAGTGCTAGCCACTGTACTAGGGACTGAGAATATAGAGGTAGTATGGCCTTGTCCACAGGGAGCATTTAAATGTTTATGTTGTCTATTACTAAACACTTGGGAAGTATGTTATCTCTTACACTAGGATCACATTATTAAGCATTATAGCAATAACATACTTCTAGGATTTACATATACGTATGTACAGGACAGAATAGAGCTCAAAACATTTTAACTTTGCAATTCGGAAATAAAGGGAAAGTCTCCATTCTTCTTCAAATACTGGTCTTGGATTACAATGAGCTGACTAAAATCTTTTCTTTTTTAATCAACAGCCTGCATTTGCAAGACGCACAGGAAAGCTAATGGTGAAAACTGATCTCTACGTGGCAGCAAGGGGTAGAGAAAAAAACTGAAAGGTGAAAGTACTGGCAGCGGTCTCCAATTAGCCTGGAAAAAAGAACACCACCTTGTCAAAGGTTCTATGATTTCTTTTTCTGGCAAACAGTCTAAAATGAAAACAGATAAAAAAGAAGAAATATTTCATAAGTAATAATAAGTGTTCCATAGGATAAAGTACAACATGGAGGAGACCAAAAACCTGAGAAATATTTTCCAAAGCAAAAGAAAAGGACAAAACAGCATTCACATTTTCCAGTCTACAAAGTAGAATAATTACAGTGAATCCCAGAGGAAGACTTAATTTTACTAATTAATTTGTAAAGTCTTTTAAAACTATCCAAATCACACCAATATCTATTTCTCTATTCATACTATTATTTAACTGATCACATTTGCTGATGAAAAATAATAAGAATCCTATTGTTATGTAAATTGTTACATATACACTGTTATATAAAAGAATTGTAATGACACCAACCAACAACCATCACTGAAATATCCTAACTCAATCACAGCAAAGGATTAAAATACATAGAACTGGACAGATTATACTTACGAAAAAGGTACAACTGAAGAAATAGTGAGAATTTTACAAATAAAATTATTAAGAAGCTGGATTCTGAAATGTAAAATAAAACTTTGTGGGATATCTGCCGAATTTTCAGATTGATTTTTTTTTTAAGATGGCTTCCCACACATAAGGAGTATTTCTCTATTGTTACCATATGAACAGTTATATGTACACTAACACTAATTTTTAAGTAGTGCAAGGAAAGTAAATTCTTTTATGTTTTGGTTCACTACTGAAGTGTTTATTTTAAATTCAACCTAGCTTTACTTTAATAATTAGTTTTGTCCAACTCACCACTTTCGCATCAATTGCAACCTGAGCGAAGCCTTTACGATTGCCCCATATGATGTTGTAGGTTTCGTCACTAAGCAGGGCTTCTCGAACTCCACCTGGAGAAATAGCTAACAAGTGACCACTCCTCAGAATTTCAACGCATTTTTCTCTTGGTCCATGTAGAGCACAAAATACATCAAGTAATAAACTAAACCCTGTAAAGAAACATAATTTAACTGATCACATTTGCTGATGAAAAATAATAAGAATCCTATTGTTATGTAAATTGTTACATATACACTGTTATATAAAAGAATTGTAATGACACCAACCAACAACCATCACTGAAATATCCTAACTCAATCACAGCAAAGGATTAAAATACATAGAACTGGACAGATTATACTTACGAAAAAGGTACAACTGAAGAAATAGTGAGAATTTTACAAATAAAATTATTAAGAAGCTGGATTCTGAAATGTAAAATAAAACTTTGTGGGATATCTGCCGAATTTTCAGATTGATTTTTTTTTTAAGATGGCTTCCCACACATAAGGAGTATTTCTCTATTGTTACCATATGAACAGTTATATGTACACTAACACTAATTTTTAAGTAGTGCAAGGAAAGTAAATTCTTTTATGTTTTGGTTCACTACTGAAGTGTTTATTTTAAATTCAACCTAGCTTTACTTTAATAATTAGTTTTGTCCAACTCACCACTTTCGCATCAATTGCAACCTGAGCGAAGCCTTTACGATTGCCCCATATGATGTTGTAGGTTTCGTCACTAAGCAGGGCTTCTCGAACTCCACCTGGAGAAATAGCTAACAAGTGACCACTCCTCAGAATTTCAACGCATTTTTCTCTTGGTCCATGTAGAGCACAAAATACATCAAGTAATAAACTAAACCCTGTAAAGAAACATTAGCAGGAAGATAGAGCTTAAGTATTGTCCAATTCTTCAAGACAAGACTTCACAACCTACTCATTTACTATCTATACTTAAATCAGAAAATTCTTTTGTTTGTTTTTTTTTTGTATCAACAGAACTCTTTAGGGTTAACACAGGATTAATATTGTTGGTAAAATAAGAGCTATGTCTTACTGATTACTTCCTTTGTTATGACCTGCTACTTGGCTACTCTGCATACTCAAACTCTTAATTAAAACTCACAAAAACCTTGGAAAAAAGAGATTCTGATCCTGTTGGCTAAGAGAGTGAGTAGCTTGCTCAAAGTCACACACACCTAGCAAATGGCAGGGCAGAGATTTTGGTCCAACTGTGTCTAGTCCAAAGCTCTTTCTACTGCATCTCAAGGCCAAACACTGTCTACAACATTTATTAAAGCAATTGGAAATGATATCCCATCAGTAGTCACAAATCTAATCTTCCATTACCCTACAGAAAAGAGAATCACTCAAAAGAATGTGAATCTGACTATGCTTAGTCCTACCAAAATTGGCAAGCCATAGTCAAATCTCTTGAAATTAAAAGATGATGCTAATTCCACAATTAAATTTTTAAATAAATAATAAGAGCAAAAAATGATCAAGTTTTAACAAAGAGTGTTTGGCTCAGGAATAGCAGTAAAAGAGGAATGGGCAGTAAAACTGTGCAGACTAACCAAACTTCTCATAGGTTTAAGGATCTAAAGCAAGATTATAAATACTCAAATGGAGAATATTTTCAGACTACACTGTCACTGATTTAACTAGATGCATTCTCACAATGAATGAATGAACAGGGGAGGTCTCCTAAATTACAAGATCATAAAGATTCTAAAGGGGGAAATTTTTTAAAAGCCAAATACTAAATAAAGACATTCACATTCTATTTTGTATAAAAATAAGAGAGAAATGGAAGCAACCTAATGTTCCATAAGAGAAAACTAGTTTAAGCAATAATTTTAGTCATATATTAAAACTGTTCTTTATAAAACATGGTAAAATATTAATGCCAACACTTTTCAAAAAAGAGCACAAAATAGTTTGCATGTAAAAATAAGAAAATTAAAAATGAAATAAATCAAAATGATAACTGGTTATATTAGGTTGACAAAATTATAACAGTGTCCTTATTTTTTCTAGTTTTCAAATTTATTATAGAGTTGTCATATTACTTTCTAACGAAAAAGCTTTTATTGCTACTTTAATTTATACACAAAGTACAAATGGCTTTTTAGTGACACAAGGATACCCAAAATATTAACCATGTCTATGAAAGGCACTAAGAAAACTATTATTTAATCATTGCTTGGTGTTTGTCTGGTTGATGAGTGGTTTTTGCTTTTATTATTTCACACAACATATTATAAACTTTATGGGCTTGTTACTGGTGACTTAGAGACAGAAGAACATAGATTTACTCTCAATGAGTTTATTTTCAAATGCTTTTTAAAAAGCTTTATTGTGTTCGAAATTTAGTTAATTCATCTTTTTTAAAAGGTACAAAGCATTTATGAACAGATTAAAAAGAATGTAGACCTCAATCTTAAGAGTTATAAGTCTACCAAGCAAGTCATGTGTGATAACAGATATAATAGACTCTTCAGAATATGATTCCTGAGGCAGTATTCTATTATTATATTAAGATAAAATATTCCTGGCTAATTTTTTAAATAGTTTTCACCTGCTATCAAACTGACAGTAATCAAACTCTAAGTACTGTAAAATTAAACTCCAAAAACCAGTATCTCATGGAAAAATTAATCGTATGAAAATAATCAACTACCTTATACCAAAATACAAATTAATTGCTTGGCAAAAGTTACACTTTTTTTTTAAAAAGTGGAAGTTAGGATTAACTTGGAAAAAAAATGACTAAATACCTGTGAATAAAGAAAGGAATTATATAACATTTTTGGCCATAGTTTTTTACATTTAGATACATTACCTAAACAGGAAATTAGATACACCCAAATAGGAGTTCCAAGTGTGGCACCCTTAAAAGGCAAAAAGCTTTTCCAACTGATACTAGACAGCTCAAAGATTGATTATCACATAATTTGATCATGGTAATTAAACATTTTTGTATTATCATGTATACTGAAACTTTACCTGGAATTTTAAAGACAAAGTGATCAGCTACTACTCGGCAAGTTCTGCCTTTATGGATGAAAATTTTAGCCATGAAGTAGTAAAAATCTATGGGAATAGCTCCATGATAAAAAATTATAAGTGCTGGTCCTTCTGGTATTTTTTCCATCCCATGAACTTCATAACCTGTTAGAAAGATAAAATATAGACACATAAAAGATACTTACATTTTCAGAGGGGAAAAGATGGCTGGAGTAGGAAGGCAAGGCAAAACCTTCTCCCACACAAACACAAAGGAAGCAACTAAAGCAAACACAACTAGTTCTGAAAAGGGCCTGAACATCACAGAACAGACCACCTAGATCTGGTGAAGAAGAGAAGACCACATACAGAAGGGTAAAGTGGCAGAGCCACATTAATCAGGACCCCAGCCCTTCCCCCAGCCCAGCCACAAGAGGAAGGGAGAGGAACAGAAAAGGAAGGGAATAAGCAATCAGGAACCCTGCACACCTGACCCTGGAGAACAGCTCTGGGAACACGAGTCCACATTTAATTGACCTTTGGTGATTAACAGGGCTGGACACTCTAGAGATTCCTGCCACTTGCGGAGGACAGGCATGCTCCAGTGGTCACAATGAGATCCAAAATAGAGGTGGCAGTTTGAAAGATATACCAGCCGCAGGAAGGGTGCCAGAGGGGCAAGAGTTGGACAGAGTTCTCTCTGCAGAAGAAAGGACAGATGGACAACACTTCCTAGCCCTCATTCAGCGCAACTGGTCAAGTGCTTGTGGGAGCCCCATATGCACCATACCCCTCACCGGTGGCTCAGCGGGCAGGTGCTTCCTTGCACACTGGCCCACCCACCTGGCCCGCTCAGCCTATCAGTGCCAGACTTGGCTGCCTGGCAGGCAGGGGGAGGCATTTAGCTTTCTCAGCCTCACCCACAACAATTCCAGCACAGCGTCTGTTGGCTCACAAAGGACCGGCTGAGGCAAGATGCCACCCACAGAAGACTGAGACAGGACACTGCTAACAGACATTGCAGCCTGACCACAGCCCACCAACAACTGGGGCTCTACTGCAAAGGAGAACCAGGCACTGGCAAATAAAGAGACTTCAGCTTCTGGGCACCACAAGACATCTTCTTCATAAATCCATTACTCTCTAGACCAGGAGGCAACAACATGGATGGATCTAGAGGGTATTATACTCTGTTAAATAAGCCAGGTGGAGAATAACAAGTACCATATGATTTTACTTATTTGTGGAATATAAGTACAAAGCAAAACAATGAACAAACAGCAGTACACTTACACTGAGAAATAATTGGTGGTTACCATGGGGGAGGGTATTGTCCTTTACACTGCTCCCAACCACCAACAACGTTTTTCACAGCAATCCTGTGCTGTTGGTGGATTAAGAAGAACATGAAAGACTTAAGAAAGCATCACATATGCTTTAGGGGGAATGCCCTGGAAATTATAGCACAAGAGCTGAGAAGTGATAACTCTGAAGAACTAACAGACTGTGAGCATGGCTTTAATCATAAAATCTTCCTTCCCTTATTACCACTCTTGGGCATGCCATACAGACCACAGCCTCAGCTGTCCGGGCAAAAAGAAAAAGCCTACTGAACAACCAATGGATCAATGAAGAAATCAAAAGAGAAATTTAAAAATACCTTGAGACAACTATAAATGGACATTTGCCATACCAAAACTTATGGGATGCAGCAAAAGCAGTTCTAAGAGGGAAGTTTACAGTGATAAACAACTACCTCTAGAAACAAGAAAAATCTCAAATAAGCAAGATAACTTTACACCTCAAGGAACCAAAGAGAGAGGAACAAATGAAGCCCAATGTTAGTAGAAGGAAGGAAATAACAAAGATCAGAACAAAAATAAATGAAATAGAGATTAAGAAGACAACAGAAAAGATCAATGAAACTAAGAGCTGGTTCTTTGAAAAGATAAATTGTCAAAACTTTAGTTAGATTCACCAATAAAGAGAGAGTGAAAAGAAAATCAGAAATGAAAGAGGAGGCCTTCTGATACCAAAGAAATATAAAAGATAGTAAGACAAGTACGAACAATTATATTCCACCAATTGAACAACCTAGAAGCAATGAATAAATTCCAAGAAACACACAACTTTCCAAAACTGAGTCATGAAGAAACAGAATCTGAATGGACTGATTACTAATAGGAAATAGAATGAGTATCAAAATCTTACCCACAAACAAAATTACAGAACTGAGTGGCTTCACCATTGAATTCTACCAAATTCTTCACAAGTTTTCCCCAAAAAACAGGACATTTCTAAACTTATTTAACAAGATCAACATTACCTTGTTATCAAAACCAGACAAGGATACCACAAGAAAAGAAAATTACAGGCCAATATCCATGTGAACATAGATGCAAAAATCTTCTACAAATTATTAGCAAATCAAATTCAGCAATATATTAAAAGGATCATATTCTATGATCAAGTGTGATTTATTCTAGGGATACAAGAATGGTTTAATATCTATAAGTCCATCAATGTGATACATCAATAAAATGAAAAAATAAAAATCACATGATCATCTCAATAGACGCAGTAAAAGCATTTGACAAAATTCAGCATTCATTAATGAGAAAAACTCTAAAACTGGGTATAGAGAGAATGCACCTCAACATAACAAAGGTCATATATGACAAACCCACAGCTAACATCATACTCAATGGAGAAAACCTGAAAGCTTTTCCTCCAAGGTCAGGAACAAGACAAGGAGGCCCACCTTCACCATTCTTATTCAACATAGTACTAGAAATCTTGGCCAGAGAAATTGGGCCAGGAGAAGAAAAAAAAGGTATCCAAATTAGAAAGGGAGAAGTTAAACTGTTAGTATTTGCAGAAGACATAGTATTATATACTGAGAATCCTAAAAACTCTAACAAAAAACTGTTAAAACTAATACACAAATTCAATAAAGTTGCAGGATACAA